GATGGATGTCTTCACGTGCATAATGCTTAAAGAAAATATTGTATTTGTTTTGCATGTTATATTATTATTCTCAATGCGACCCCACGTGAACTGATTACAGCTAAGTCCACTAGCCTCTTCGCTTCAGGTCAGCCATGCTTTTATTTTACACAGCACTGACTCCAAACACTAACAAACCTGAGTGCATCATTTACTTTGTGGTGCATGCCGTTTTGTTTCTCCTAAATGGGATCAAATCATGTATTCTAATCTCCCTTTCATACCTCTACTTTGAAGCATCTCCGGGAACAGATGCTGCGAGTCGCATATTTCATCAAAACTGAACAAAGCACAGTGAAAATCGTAAATATGTTCTGAATTAGCAGCACGTGTGTTTTGAAGCCCCGGGCTGCACTTCTCCATATGTCTCATTCGCAGTCAGCCCCCATCACTGTTTTCATAACCGGACACAGACACAGGCAAAGGAGGAATATATCTAACACACAGTGCACACACATTTTCAATTTTGTTTAAAAAGGTACACTTCATAACTTTTCTGCCCCCTCCTTCACAAGGATGTTATTACCTTTCATGGAATGTTCCACAATAGGGTATTAAATGTAGTTATCTCCATGGAGACGAGCAAGTTATTGGCGCCATTATCACTGAGATATGTATCTTCTAGAGTTTGCTGATGCAATACGCACCTCAATACAAAGGCCACAATGCGATATATACTTACATACAGGGCATTATCAATTTGATTTGTATATTTCCAAGCAACTGCATACGATTCAGTAATAACAAAAAAAAGGCTTCTGTCCTCTAACGCCAAACCTCCTAATGCAGACACCTAATACAACATTACAGGTGCATGAATGTGACAAAACATTAAAAATAGGTCAGTGATTAACAATTATTTTGAAAACTCGATTTTTCCTTTGATTAAAGTTAGTTAGTTGTTTTAAACCCGACAAATAGGCATTTTTTTTTAAACATTTGACCAAAACAACGTCAAAGCTATGCCACTCGAGAACATGCTAAGAATTCATAAAACATCTTCTTAGCAGGTTTCAGTCCAGGTATGGTTAAAAAAAACATTAGTCGATTACTATATTAAAGTAATTGACTAATTAAATATTCAATTACCTGCAATTAATCAATTATGTATCAAAATAAATATCATGAAACACAAATTTAAAAGGTATTAAAAGACAACAATAACATTTACAATTCAATAAATGGACAATTGAGTTTAATGCCCCACAGTGAAACATTTCTGGAAACGCAATAACATCCGTGTGGACAAAAAAAGCAGTCCTCAAAAATCTGCTATCTACCATTTTCCGTTCATTTGCATTGATGACGGGTTCCAGAGAATAGCAGAAAGGACTGTATTCAGACATATGGCGTGAGTACCAAACTATATCACCCCAACATCTGCTAATACATCCATATTTCTACAATGTTCTCGCCAAGGCTGCCAAGAAACTTTGTTACAGATATGAGAGATCCTAACTCAATCTTGATGGTGCGAACGTGTAGATATATACGGCAGCTCCGCAGACAAGGCCCGGTGACTAATGGCCAAAATGACACCAGACAGATGCATAGAGTTTTTTTATGCACTCTGGATAAACAGCGACACATAAGCAGCTGGTATGTATCTGTGAACGCATTTGACTCATCTCATTCACACGCTACACATAGAATATGATCAAAGGCACGTGAGCAAACAAGAGCCATTTTCAGATATTATGCTGTTGAGGATTATAGCACACATATCTCTATCGGGTTCATTGACTTTCTGTTCAAAAATACAGCTGTGATAAGCACCGACTCTAGGATTTGATGTGAAACAGGCCAAAAGTGGAGCCCTGAATCTTTATAAGAAATCCGTGAATGAAGAGAGATAAATATTGAAATGATGCCAGAGCAGGGTTAAAAGCACACAAAAATACTAATTTAAAGCATTCCCTTGACAATTTAGAAGGTTAAACTGCTTTACAAGATCTAATTTGACACAAACATTTAAATGCATTTGTTAAGCTTTTGTTATCATCAAATTGCTCAAGTGATAAATCAAATTATATTCTTAGCATTCAATCTGGGTTGTCAAACTTATTGAGAAAACTCACATTTTATCAATATAGCGAAAATCACCTACACAGGACATATTGTGAGATTCTCTGAGCAGTTTTTAAACGATTTGTATCTATCTCAGAATTAGTTCAAAACCATGTGGTACCTTTAAAAGGCAGTATAATGTTGAATTAATAACCATAATAATAATAATGTTGCATATTATCAAAGAGATTACATCACTGTGGTAACAAAATTGGTACAAAGTCTTTTCATTAGTATCGAAATTGAGTTTGTAATTTTATTATTGAGACAACATACATAGCCTCTGTTGTGATCTGTTCTCATCATGCATTTCCATCAGAATTCAAGTCCATCAGTAACTGCCCTTATTCTGTAAAAACATATTGTCAATACGGATTTCTAAAAGTAACTGCAAAAAAACGGTTTTAATGGTTGAAAAAGGCTAAAGAAAAAACTCACTCACTCAAGTAGAGAGCATATAATTGCATAGCTCGTCTCTAGTGACATAACAGTAAGTCCCAGACATTTAGTTAAATATTTTGTGCCTGACTGTGCACCAAGGCAAAAAACAAGTTGTCAAAAACTCTTAATATAAAAACATTCAGCCCTGAAACTATTTTTCATTTAGTGACCAGCAACAACAACAAAAGGGAAGAAGCTTTAGTGCGAACGCGAGTAAGTGAAGGTCGTTGGGTTAAATCCACACAAGGCTTTAATATAGTGATGAGAAAATAAATTGGGGGTTTGTTTCCGACGTGCCCTTAGGCAAGACAATATTCAAACAGATCATCCACTTATCAGGCGAATAGGTGTAGGGAGAATCGACTCACGCCCCTCCACCTCGCGCATCTCCCCACGACCTTTGCTGTAAAAAATATATAGGCAGTGCTGTCAGGGCTGTCAGGGATGCTCATTCAAAATGTCAGCTTCCAAGTTTTCCGACTGCTCCACATTTTGGCATTAAGGAGTATCTGTATTGCCACATCTTCAAACATTACCCTAACCTCCTCCAGATACTGCCCTCCAAAGATTTGTTTGGGTTTTGCAATGCCGTCAATCTTTTTGTCAGCATTCACGTACAATTCTAAAAATACCAGAGCCAGGTGTGATGGATTACAAGGGCTATGCTAAAACGAGAGATATGAACAAATTTACAAACTTTTAGGACATGAAATTGCTTGAGATGATTTACGTAGGCTCTTGTAACTGTCCATTTTTCCTGCCACCTTAATATAAAAAAGTAAGTGTAATATTGCCTTTGTAAAGAATTATGAATGGTCCTTATGAGTCTAATTGTATCATTAGACACGTTTATATAACGATATTTGGAACAGTGTTATATTACACCAATAAATACAAAGCGCACAGCACCAGCCACTTCACTGAGCTGAGCTGAAAAGAAGCCAAAAGAACTCTGAGGCCCCTAATAAAAGTGTTTTAGACAGTCAAATTACAAAGAACTTTACACATACTCGATTGGAAGGAGCTCTATAAGAAAAAGGTGCGCTGCCACACACAGCAAGTGCCAATCACACTCAACTGTTACTTATTTTCACTTGTATTTGTGTTAAGCTACACGCTGACTGTTTTTTATTGGAAGAGTGATACATTTCTTCTTCTTTCAACATAATATGACATCTGAAGGTGTTCAAGGTCTGATAATGGTGCACATGTATCAATCCCTGTTTCTTATTTCATATTTATTGACAAATGTATAAACATATAAATAGAACTAGATTATGACCTTTGTCCACATTGTTTATTTGGAGCTGTCCACGGAACAGCGGGAAACCATGACAACGTGGACCGGTACACAAAATGATCTTAAGATGATTTTGTCCATACTGTTTGTGTATTTCATTTTTGTTGTCCTGGGCCTTTGTATCTGTTTGTGTTGTTCATGTTGAAAAATCATTAACAATATATTTTTTGAAAATAGAAAATAATGTTTGCTTATAAACAAACTATATCACAGATATAGGGGATAGTTTTTAACAAAATTAAAACGTTAAGTGTGGACTTAATAATAATAGGGTTAAAAACTGTCCATTATAATTAAATAATTAATTAAATAAGTATTAAATTAGCATTATTTTCTCAATATCTGTATTGGGAAATGCTGTTTATTGACTTATCAAAATAAGAATTGACAAAAACCTACTCTAGTGTTTTATCACTACTCCAGATCCAAAACTAGGAGAGCATAACTGGGTATTTCCGCTCAACATTGAAAAATCCCTGACAAATATAATTTTAGCTGAGTCTAATCCATCACTAGACATCTGCAAAACGACAAGCATGTTTAATTATTTAGCAACTGACAGATTTCAAGAGGCATTGGATTTCCTGAGTTTTGAGTTTTATAATATAAATGGGAATAGTAAGTGCGCGAGTAAATTGAAGCAAAGACTTAAAGTCTTAAAACACATTCACTAAGTAGTAACTAAAGATTAATTTAGGGGCAGTCACAAAATATAGTGATAATAATTGTGTCTTGGGGAATGCCTTTTTGAAAATTGTAATTTAAAACAGTGCCAGTGCCGCATATATTGCCTACAGTGCAAATCTGACAGCAGCTCGGCGGGATAGTCCTGAGACAGCACGGCCTTCGCTGTTACATGAGATATGCGCACGCAGAACATGTGGCCGCAGCAGAAAAAGGGGGCGTGTCGTCCTCATTCATCCAGACAAGTGAACGTGAACGCATGCGATATTCAGCCTGCAGTTGTGTTTTATTGCTAAGCTTTGTGTTGAAAGCTCCATCATTGCTGTAACGCCTGACCTTGATCCAAACAGCCTCTTAACCCAAAGGTGTTTCCCTACATTGCCCTTAGCACCAAAAGAACAACACTGTTATGACAGAGGGCACACTATTGACATAACACATTAGTAATACAAATTTGAAACGGACTCACCGTCTTTGAGTCTAATTCGTGGTGTTGTTGGGCTAAAACTTTATCTACGCTGGCAGCATCTGTAAACGTAACGAACCCAAATCCTCTGCAAGACAAAAAAAAAAAAAAACACAGTAAGAGTGCACATAGAAACATGTGATATAAAAAGACAAACTGTGATGGACAATTCATTAATATTACTAGTACATAAATAGTGAAAGGAGAGAATGATGAGCAGACAATGTTATACAGATGATATATGTTATAGGTTACTGAGCAATGGTACATTTTAATTGTACATGTATGCAACTGTTTAAATGCGTTTCTGCATAGAATATGTTAATGCAGTTTGTACGGTGTGTGCGTTTATAAAAGAAAACCTTTGACATCACAAAACAAACAAACAAACAAAAGGAACGTGTTAATATTAAAATAATCTCTTTACAATAATACATTATATATTCTGGTATAGTTTTGACAAACCCAATCTCCTATGTGATAATATTGCAGTTTGATAAAGGTCGTGCAGTCCAGTCAGACTGTGAAATGTAACTTGCCACTTCAGCAGGTAAAACACCAGCCTGACCTTATAACTGTTATATTGTTTCTGGATAAATTTCTTTCTTTAATCCAGATTATGCCAGTCCTGGGGCAGATCCGAAAAGTAAGAGCGCGCGGCACACTGCTGAATATGATTGTGGCTGTTAAATATGAGACGACACCAGGACAACATTGTGGTGCAGTCACAAAGTCAATGTCAAATTGCATTGGGCTGCAGCTTTACAGCAGCGAGCGTTTAAGCTTATCTGGCACACGCAGGCGCGCACACGTGCAGGGACACTGGCACACGCACGCACGGACACACACGGGCACACGCGGACACAGCCACGCACACGCGGGATTAATACAAGACAAAGTAAGCGATATGGCTGCATGCGCTGTCAATGAAAAGTAGTGGCTTTACCTTGAGCGTTTTGTCGTGGGGTCTCTCATCACCATACATTCTCTTATTTCTCCGAATTTACTAAAATAGTCTCTAAGGCTGTCTGTGGATAGAGAAAGGATGTCGGGTTATTTGAGAGAGAAACATATGAGCACGCAGTTGTCACAGTATTTCAAAAAACAGCCCGCGATGCGCATAGGGGTCGAATAGAGGACTTCAGATGGACGGAGATCTAAAATAACAAGGCACACACACGCACACACGCACACACACACTACACACACTACACAGATATCCCATACAGTACACTAGTGCACATTCAGACCGTCAGCAGCCACCGCGAGCACCCAGTCACCACCACGAACAACAAGAGCCTGTGTACGCTGGAAAAGAGAATAACAGTCTCACCTGGTGAGGTTTGCCAGCTCAGGCCACCGATAAACATTTTACTGTAAGCAGAAAACACAACAGAAGTGAGTCCAGATGTCAGTTCGGCCATTTTGACGACTAACTACTTCTAAAAGCGACCTTAAAGGATAAAGAAAACACATTCGCGCTAAGTAATTCTGCTCCGTCTACATAAAAGGGGGAGGCTACTCTCGCTACGAAGCAGAGGTCTCCCAAACTGTGGCCAAAGCAGACTCATGCACGCTATAAGTGCGTACATCCAGCACGGCAGTCGAAGTCCTCTCCAAGATTTTGTAACAGGGGGGAAACCGTACCTTAAGCGCACATTTAGAAAGATTCTTACCCCGGGTCATGTTGTGAATCGTTTAGGCTTCCGGATGTGGCTTGACTCCCGTCTCCTTCCATATCTATTCCAAAAGTCTATAGGCTGGGACTACAGTAACAGTGACAGACACACACAGATACGGAGGAGATATGCAAAGCCCCGCTATGAGAATATTACTGAGCCGGGAATGAAAGCGTCACACGTGGGATCAGCTCAGCCCCCTGCTCCCTCCTCCCGCTCGCAGCACGCTCTACCTTGGGCCGTGGAGGAGGAGCCTGCCTCTGTCACCTAACCAATCCAGCTGACGTCAATTCAGGCAGGCTGCATACATACACCAATGCTCCCGTTTAGATTTTACTTAAGCAATAAGACTGTTAAACGTGGATTATTTCAACCATTGCAGAGGGGGAATCAGAGAGCGCGGTATTTTTTTTATTTATTGTTTGGTTAAAGCTGGGGTACGTAACTTTTCGACCACAACAAGATATAACAGTGTAATGCAATCGATGTCGCTCTTCACTCCCAACACCGTTTGATTTTACTTACTTAAGCAATAAGGCTGTTAAACATGGATTATTTCAACCATTGCAGTGGGGGAATTAGAGAGCGTGGTGGTTTTTTTTTTTTTTTTTTAGGTTAAAGCTGGGGTACGTAACTTTTCAACCACAACAAGATATAACAGTGTAATGCAATCGATGTCGCTCTTCACTCCCAACACCGTTTGATTTGACTTACTTAAGCAATAAGGCTGTTAAACATGGATTATTTCAACCATTGCAGTGGGGGAATTAGAGAGCGTGGTGTTTTTTTTTTTTTTTTTTAGGTTAAAGCTGGGGTACGTAACTTTTCGACCAAAACACGATATAACAGTGTAATGCAATCGATGTCGCTCTTCACTCCCAACACCGTTTGATTTTACTTACTTAAGCAATAAGGCTGTTAAACATGGATTATTTCAACCATTGCAGTGGGGGAATTAGAGAGCGTGGTGTTTTTTTTTTTTTTTTTTAGGTTAAAGCTGGGGTACGTAACTTTTCAACCACAACAAGATATAACAGTGTAATGCAATCGATGTCGCTCTTCACTCCCAACACCGTTTGATTTTACTTACTTAATCAATAAGACTGTTAAACATGGATTATTTCAACCATTGCAGTGGGGGAATTAGAGAGCGTGGTGGTTTTTTTTTTTTTTTTTAGGTTAAAGCTGGGGTACGTAACTTTTCGACCAAAACACGATATAACAGTGTAATGCAATCGATGTCGCTCTTCACTCCCAACACCGTTTGATTTTACTTACTTAAGCAATAAGACTGTTAAACATGGATTATTTTAACCATTGCAGTGGGGGAATTAGAGAGCGTGGTGTTTTTTTTTTTTTTTTTTAGGTTAAAGCTGGGGTACGTAACTTTTCGACCAAAACACGATATAACAGTGTAATGCAATCGATGTCGCTCTTCACTCCCAACACCGTTTGATTTTACTTACTTAAGCAATAAGACTGTTAAACATGGATTATTTTAACCATTGTAGTGGGGGAATCAGAGAACGCGGTATTTTTTGTTGTTGTTAAAGCTGGGGTACAGTACGTAACTTTTCAACCACAACAAGATATAATAGTGTAATACAATCGATGTCGCTCTTCGCTCTCAATACCGTTTGGTTCTATCTTTAGTTTTTCACATGATTTTTTTCTTTTTTTTGGTTTCTGTCACATTTTAAAAGCTGATGGGCTGATTGACCACCATCAATCAAAGAGTCTAATTGTGACTCACAGGGCTCTTTCTTACAAGGATGCAAAGGACAAAATCGTTTCAAAGACAAGCATGGTCTGATTTGTTCACGTAGACTATTTCTGTTGGGACCAAATGTGTTATTTATGAACAAATAAAGTTAGTACCCCAGCATAAAGCAACAAGACACACATTTTCAACAAGCTTATTGAATATGTTAACTGTTGGGGATTAATTAGGTAATTTGCTTGCATTAAAGCTGGGGTACCAAACTCTTTTTTTCATAGATTATTACATATTTTTGGTGCCAACAGAGTATTTTAAAACCATAAAGCATGTTATCTTCTGCATACTGTAAGAAAGAGCCCTTTGAGTCACTGATGCTTTGAGCTGAGAGCTGATTGGCTGAGTGAGGGTGGTCTTGTTCTTAGATACAGATACAAACCAACTGTTTTGAGAGCGAGGAACCATGACTATTATTGTTCCATGTGTGATTTGAACTTGTAAGAACAAGCTCATCGAGTCACTGTTTGACTCTTCGGGCTGAGGGCTCTTTTTCACAATTCTGTCTGAAAAAGCTGATTTCAAGATGGGGTCATTAATACAAAGTGACAAAGCCAAACTGCTCTCAAAACGAAAGTTAGATGGATTTTAGTTTCATTTTTGAAAGTCAGACAAAGAGGACCGCACAGTTTTTACAATATAGTATAAATTCCATAAACTGTTATGCCTTAATAAGAAGAACTGCTGTGTAAGTCATTTCTAATTAATTTCCCTCCGTTGTAAAATACAGTCCTCTAGACAGCAGCATGAAGTGGGGCGCATGAAGTGGGGCACTTTGAGATGACTGTTAATTACCTAAATGAACTCAATTACTATTGCTCACAGGTGTTGTGATTTAGGAAATAAACAATTACAGATGCTTTGAGCAAAATGTTGACAGATTTAGCAAAATGTCAATCACAATTATTAGCTCTAAAAATAACACAAGAGGGGTTTTGTTATTTTGTAAAGTAAGTTTCGCTTTGCCTGAAAAATTCTGAATTGTGGCTCTGTTTATGTTTTATACACACCGGGTAATCATCTGATATGGATCTCTATGTACAGAGAAATATCATTCTGGATTATCTTGGCAAGGCTGCTTAGTATAATCTACAAAAATATAGGCTCATGACAAATGGCATTGTGAAAACCATGCAGAGAAAAAGGAGCCAAATCACAGCCAATAGAATTATGCTGTATTACAAATCAATACACACACACACAATATAATAACACAGAATATTGCTTTCCTGTCTCCTGGTGTTTAAAACGCTTCATCTATGACCTGAAAATGTATATTCATTATAAAGGTTTATTATGACTTTTCCTTTGAGAATGGATGCGTCATACATGCAGCTGTAATTATAGTTTTTTTTTCAGGTATATAGCTGACCTGTGATGAGCTGCTCCAGCTTTGTAGAAATGCAGTACACTGGAGATAAGCTGCTTGTGCCCTTTGGTGACCCTGCAACCATGAATATGTTGTGAGAAAAAGATCAACATTACAGTAAGAGGAGATTATATTGTCAACATAATGCACGGATAAAACTCACCAGCCATAATGCACCTGAATAGCATGCCATTTTGTACATAAATAGATGTTTTGATCTAACATAGCAATATTTGTCTGATTTGCTTGCAACTAGAAGTGAGATTCAGTTCTGAGTGTTCTGGGCACTACTACAGGGAATTTCTTATCTACTTTGGCAGCATGTTTCTGAAACAATGCCTTAGATAAAGCCCAAAAAACAAACACTTTTGACAGCTCCAACAGTAACGATGGAGACAATGTCATTAGTTAGGGGACACTCCACATTTCAGAGGCTGCTGTAGCCGCTGTATTCCCTTAAAGTAAGACACATTTGAATAGAGAAATCCCCTCTTTGAGCAAGCACTGGTCATGCATGTGTGTATGAAATTACACTGTGAAAAACACATCCATCTCGCCTGTTGCCTAACGTAAGAAAGAGATAGAGATCAGGGGGCTTATAAACTGATGAAAAAGCCCAAAGGAACGGCACACTTTAAAGGCAATCACAAGGTGTGCTAGGAGAAATCACAGTAGATTTAACACATGACGAGTGATCCGGGTTTACACACAAATAAAAACACTTCACGTCCCTTGCCGTAGATTCAAATTATTCTGTTTTTTTCTGTCTTTTTTTGAACAGTTACCACAATACCCTCCATTCCATTGTGTAATACTGTATCATGGAGAGTGCAAAGTCAAGTGTGACATTTTACAATACGTGATCAAGGGTTGCAAACCGAATAGCACGCAAAACAAACCTCAGATGCCGTGTTTCTTTCTTCTTTTTAGGCAAACTAACAGAGCCATGTATAGATTTTTAAATTGAGTGCTATTCCTTGCTAATCCGTGCAGCCACCACAAGATAAAAGTGTTGAAAAAGCCCTTTAGGTGACTTCAGGTTTCTGACAGATGCGTTTTCCTTTGCAGAACGGCAAGGAATAACATTACTAAATACTGTGTGTGTGAATGCGCAAACTTCCAATAACAATAAATAGAAGCTGTGAGGTTTTCAAAGGGGCATTTAAGTGGCATCAATGCAACTTTGCAAAGTATTCACAGCCAGACTCAAAAAGATGAACAGCACGTCAATAGAAAGTAAACTCGTGCATGCAGAAAGGAGCTTGTAACTAACCGAGGTCTTTGCATGAAAAACTGGAGGATTTGTGGAGGGATTGAGCAGCGAGAGAAATAAAATTGATAGCGTGTGAAAGAGCTGAAGGGGGAAAGAGAAAGTGAGAGAAGTGTGTTATGAGATGCTGGTGTTTTGAGAAGCAAAAGAAGCATACTGTTTCCTGTTGCAGTAATCATTTTACAGCCTCCCAATCTTCACTTGACCTTAGAGAAATTGTTCTTGGATCTCACGTAACCCCTTATTCTCAACACACAATTTCCTTCATATTATCTCCACAAGAGCCGCAATAGTCTATAGGTAAAGGCTGTCGTTCTGGACTTTAACTCTTCGTGGACCAAAGGTTGAAAGTTATGGAGGTTCAATAACTTTTCAGGTTGTCTCCAGGGAGATGTTTTTGATTTGATTGTGCGTTGATCTAAGTCCTCTCCACATAGAAGCATGTAGAGTTACAGGACAAATCTGTGAAGAGGCTAAAAATGTAAATAATTGATGCTGTTGTTGCCCATTCATACAAATCCATACGCTAAAATATTCTAGGTGATGCATACAGCTTCACAGAGACTAAGGTGAAGATAAGGTATGAGGTAAACTTTGTCCCCAGGGAAAAAAATGTCCTTTGCCTTTGATCCTACCTTCAAGGACA